AACACATTTGATTTTTGGGGCTGCCAGCACACACTGCTGGCTCATATCAAGCTTCTCACCCACCAACACCCCAAGTCCTTCTCCTCAGAGCTGCTCTCAGTCCATTCTCCACACAGCCCCCTGTTTGTGCTTGGGATTGCCCTGGCCCAGGTGCAGGACCTTGCACTTGGCCTTGTGGAACTTCTTGAGTTTTGCCTGGGGCCGCCTCTCCGGCCTGTCAAGATCCCTTGGGATGGCATCCTGTCTCTCCAGTGTGTTCACCACACCACACAGTTTGGTGTCATTGGCAAACCACCATGTCCATGTCACCTACAAACATTTTGAACAACTTCTTTTATAGCTATGCCTTCTGTTTCCCTTTGGATAGGAAGTGTTTGTAAACATGTATTTTTGCAATGTGAAATTACTTTGGTTGCATAATGAGTATAATTTGTCAGTTTACAGCAGAGCAGGCTAAGGTCAAATTTACATGCTGCTTTTGAAAGTACATCTGGCATTAGAAGACCTGAGGATGCTGCAAGCTGAAGAAAAAGCTTCTCCTCCATTCACTTTGCTGAGTGGCGTCCCTAGTTTTTGTTTGAAGCTGAAATTAGCGATCCTAGGACTGGTTTGGAAATTCATTTTTGCTGGAGAGAGGAGGACCATGCAAGCACGGGAAAAGCTGTTTAATAATAAGGTGTCAGGTAGATTTGAGCCCAAGTTGAAAACCTGAATTTTTCCTTTCTATATGCTAACTATGCTTAGCCTTGAAGTACTACTGACTGCATGGGGTGGGGGCAACTTGGTCACTTTGCTCAAGTGCCAGGGTATAAAAACCTTTAGGAGAAAATCCATCAAAATAAAAAAAGTCTTTCTGATCAACACAATATGTTTTGATTAAGCCTGCTCCAGTTAATATGAAATCTAGAGTTAGCAGCCTTTGCTGCATGTTTGGGAAGCTGTAATCTCAAAATATATTTGAAGTTACTTTTGCTCAGACAAACAGAAAGGTTAGGGGGGATTTAAATATCCAAATCCAGATTTGTGCTCTGCAGGATTTTTGTTCAGCTGCTAACTGATCATGAAGACTTTTAGAAACATAAATGCTTACAGGCTTTCAAATTAAAGCTCCCCAGGTTCACCAACTTCTGCTTCTGGGCCGACTCAAAACATAGGTCTCCTTCAGCCTGAGGATTAGCAGATCCATGCTTATCCTGAATACACCAAACCTGGATCACAACCTTCCACATCCTCCCTTCTGAAGGTGCTTGGCATGCAGCATCTGCCAATACCAACTTTTCCAGAAGGGAGCAGAAAAATATTTGCTTCCCAAGAGAAAAACACCACTGGGAGTTGGGACCTGCGACTTTGGAGGTGAATGCCTTGCCCTTTAGGATAACTAAACATGCACTTTCCTTCTCAGACAAGCTCCACATGATAGAATTCTGCTACAAAAAGTGGGGACTGAAGCCTAAGCTGGCCACTGTTGTATGCTGGAGTAGACAAGGAGGGGTGATGGGTGCACCCCTGCCTGTGTCCTGGATGTGGGGGGAATGATGGTCCTTGCTCGGGTCTCAAGAGACAAGAATTTATTCTCTCTCTTCAGCAACAGGAAGTACCTCACTATAAATCACAGTACCAAAAGCCACTGTATTCTGACTAGAAATTTAAGGGGCTTTAGGATGTACAGAAAGTTTTCTGCAGCTGACTCTGCCAGCTCCCCATTCTGAAACACCTAATTCTTATAAACATTTTAAAAATTACCTGTTGCCAAGATTATCCTGAAGTCACCAAACATATCTGGACATCCAGCTTTCTAGCCTCAAAATGACGTATCCCTGGTGAAACTGGGAGTCTGCTGAGACACAATTTTGCTCAGTTGAGGCTGTCTTTTCTGCCTGCGACCTGTGCCACAACTGGCTATCCCTTGCTATTCTTGCCAAGGACAGCCAACTGCAGGGCAGTCTTCTCTCCCAGGGGAGGCTGGTCTCCTGGGGAAACAAGTACCAAGGAAGCAACCTGTGTGGAGATGCTGAACTTCATCAGGGCTCATTTCATAGAATCATTTAGGTTGGAAAAGGCCTTTAAGATCATTGAGTCCAACCCAGCACTGCCACGTCCACCACTAAACCATGTTCCTAAATGCCACATCTATGTGTCTTTTAAATGCCTCCAGGGATAGTGACTCAACCACTTCCCTGGGCAGCCTGTTCCAGCGCTTGACAACCCTTTTGGTGAAGAAAGTTTCCTAATATCAAGTCTATATCTTCCCTGGTGTAACTCATCCTGTTGCTTGATATTTGGGAAGAGACTCACAGCCTCCTTTCAGGTAGTTGTAGAGGGCAATAAGGTCTTCCCTGAGCCTACTTTTCTCCAGGCTAAACACCCTCAGCTCCCTCAGCCACTCCTCATCAGACTTGTGCTCCAGTCCCTTCCCCAGCTCTGTTGCCCTTCTCTGGACACGCTCCAGGACCTAAACGTCTTTCTTGTAGTGAGGACTCCAAACTGCACACAGGATTCGAGAGGTGTCCTCACTAATGCCAGGTACAAGGGCACTTGCCCAGCTTTAGTGCGGCTCCTTTTCCTCGCTGGGGTGTCTCCCAACCCTGTTGCACCGTGCCCGGTGCGGCAATCCCCGCCGCGTTTGTGTCCCCTGCAGACGCAGGGACCAATCCCGCTCTCCGCCCGCCGCTGGGGAACTGCCAGGCCCGTCCTGCCGCAGCGCATCCTGGTCCGCCGGGCGGGACGGTGGGATGCGGCGGGATGTGGTGGAATGCGGCGGGATGTGGCGGGATGCGCCGGGATGCGCGGGCAGCGGGGACCCCTAGTGGTACCGCGGCCCGGCCGGGAGGGGTTTTAGGTCCTGCTGCTTGGTGTAGGTGCCTGGCGAAATGCTTGTGGAAAAAGTGGAATCTACTTCTTTGGACCATGCAGTCTGCTTTGTTCAAAAGAGGGAAAAAACAAGTTCAGTGGGAGTGAAAGCAAAAACCGGGGTCCGCAAAGTCAGCCTGTTTGCAGGTGATAAACACTTGTTATTTAGCCTGACCCTGTTTGAGTCTTACAGACTGAGACTAAAAAGGGAGAGCAACAGTTAGAGAGGAAAAGGTAAATGATGAAACGGGATGCATTCAGTCCGACAAAGGCCTCACTTGAGTGTCATGTGTCTGATACAGACATTAAGTAGTTGGCAACAAAAGCACTTAAGACACTCCAAATACTCTTCTGGCCTCAAAATTTTCAGTTCATCCTAGGCCACATACTGGTGTATGACCAGACGTGCCTTTTACCCATAGGGTGCAGCGGTGCAGTGCAGTGGCTGGCCCCAAGAGAGGGAGGCTCACCCCCCTATCCCGTCCCATCCCATCCCATGCCATCCTATACTGTCCTTGGCACACACCTGCCTGGGTGTGTCATGGAGCCATCAAGACTGTGTCAGGAAATCAAGCTGCTCCTTGCCCTCCTGCTGTGGGAGCTCCTTCCCCTTCAGGCTGTCCTGCTGCCATGGCAGGGCATCTTTGCTCCATAAAGCTCTGAGCTTGGGGAGGGTCTGGCCACTCCTCTCCAGCCCCTGCAGAGGCTCCATCTTGGTTGGCACAATGGTTGGGTGGCTGCCGGTGCCCTGCAAGCTCTGTTGGCCGGGGAGCGGTGGCAGCCTGTCCCCATGGGGGGATGAGACCTGGCCCTGGCTATCCTGAGGTGCTGCATATTGCTGTCTGTGGGCCACCTGTGGGAAGTGTTCCGTGGAGGATTTTAAAAAACTATATCAAACACTACATGCCTTAGTTCTTATATCTTTAGCAGATATAAGGACTGTAAGAAAGGTAGTTCTTATACATGCAGTACTGTCACCTACTTAGGGGTAATAAAAATACCCTCAGAAATCTAAAACTTGACATTTTCTCAACATGCTGGTTTTGAATCCATTTCTGGTATGCACAGAACTCAGTTAATTGGGCAAAATTGACATTCTTATTGAAGAAAAAGTAAAATAATTTCTTGAGGTGTTCTTCCTCAATGTGAGGAAGAACTTCTTTACACTGAGGGTTGCAGAGCACTGGAATAGGCTGCCCAGGCTGCCCATGGAGTCCCTCTCTCTGGAGACATTCCAAAACCCACCTGGATATGTTCATGTGTAACCTGCTCCAGGTGGCTCTGCCTTGGCAGAGGATTTGGACTGGATGATTTCCAGAGGGCTCTTCCAACCCTAATGGTTCTGTGATTCTGTGATTTGTAAATGTTGCCTGATTCCCAGCAGCAAATGCCTGCTGGGGAACCTGGCAGCAGCGGCTATTGGGACAGCAGGCTTCTTCCCCCACCACTTCTCAGTTGTGGGTGCAGTTTTCTGTGGCAGCGGTTGTGGAGGAATGTGATAAAGGCAATTTGCCCACTAAAAGCTACCTGGGAAAATACAACTAAATTTGAACAGGATAATAATTTCATTTATGACCCCAGCAATAATAAAGCCACAGTTTCTGGTTTTGTGTCATGATTAAATTACAATGGAGCTATACTCTATCCCCTAGAGAATAAAGTATGCCCTGATGTAAGGATGTGTTTGCATAAGGACCTTTTGCATGAAAATATTTCTGTATTTTTGTGGTATATTACCCAGCAGAGCAGGAGCATTACTTATAAAATTCTTCCAACTATATATGGATGGGGTTGAGAGAGAACCCTATGAATTCACCTCCTCAACAAACCCATTCACACTTGTTCCAGTGTGCTAAAGTAACCAATTTTACTGCGGGACCTAGTGTGTATCTTTATATCTGTTGGGGATACCCCTCTATGAGATTTAAAAATCGGGATCCAATATGTGATTCTATGGCTAATTTCAAAACATTTTGGGCCCATGTCCAACAGACACAGTATTATGGAATCTCTCACACCCATTAAAGGAGACTCTCCATTAAAGGAGACTCTGATCCTTGGGACTCATGGGATGGGGACAGTGCCAAATGGGAATTGGGTTAATAATTGCAACTAGATTTGCATTTTTAATGATTGGGATAGTTATTATACACTGTATGATCACTCATTTTATTGCTTCTCCTGTTTCTGTCTTTTCTTTCTATCAATCTTCATCACCTTCGTGGACAACTCGTAAACTGAGGAAGCTTCCTAGGAAAGAAAAACTTTGTTAAAATGCTTAAGCCATGGGGTTGATGTGAGAGACTGAAATGTTACAGTTAATGGCTTAAACACTGTTAAAATCACCAAAGGAATTTTGTCCATTGTAGCAAACTACGCAAAGAGCAACTGCTCATCTTCGACCACCAAAGCCCACCCTCCCCAAATATGCCTTCTGAGGGGAACTGGTCTGTGAGTTAAGCCACCTAAAGGGAATTTGAGATAAGATAAAGGTGATAGTATTGTTCAGATATCTCAGGTCTAAAGGGAAGTACACAGGCCTGGAGGGAGAAGAATGTATCCTAAAAGAAAGCCATTTTCAGCAGCCATGTTGAAAATCAACTCTGGCTGAGTTTGGTGGGCAGGGGGAGGCTCAAACCCTGCAAAGACAGGATGGTGCTGTTTCTAGTGGCAATTGTCCTCTGCTCAGTTGTAAAACTCTCCCCCTGCCCCCAGGGAAGGTCTGATGGGGCATTACTGGCTCAACTGTGCTGACAACATGAGAGGCAGCTGAGCGGGGGTCATAAATCATCAAACACCCCCAAGTGCCTCCCAGACCTATTCCCAAGGCCTTCCACCAGAGGAGTGCACATGACCCAAAATGTGTTGCAACAGATCTAAATCTGATGAAAGAGACAGTGTAAACCCCCTGTAGGGGAGATGCCAGGGCCTTCCTACCTGAACCTAAAGGTATTTTAACCCACTGGACGTTGTGTTTCGTGGGCTTCTTCCCCCACCATCCAATGGATCCAGACTGCAACCATCACTTCAACCACCAGACAACTAAATTGCAACAATCAAGGCTCATCACAGATCCATAAGTGGTGACTGTGAACTCTTTTCTCTTTTTTTCTCTCTTTCTTTCTTTTCCTTTATACATTTTCTTGAGTAATATTTTTATGCTTTCATATTGCTATATTACTATGGATAATAATAACCAAAATATCTACATCTCTGATTTCCATTGCAACCAAATTCTTCTAAAATAAACCCTATATATAAATACATATATATTTACAAACGTGTATCATTCAGTGTCATTTCACTCTAATCCTCCCCAAGAGATCTGTTAACAAGAACTTGGGTTACTCTCACCCAGGTCATTACAGACAGGGCTGCAGGAGGCGATGGGGCAGCAGTGGTGTGGTGCAGTGGTTGGTCCAAGGCAGAGGGAGGCTCATTCCCTCCTCCCATCCTGTCCCATGCCATCCCTGTCCTTAGCACTCACCTGACCGGCTGTGTCATTGAGCAGCTGAGAGCAGCTGAGACCATGTCAGGGCTGCAAGCCGCTCCTCACATCCCTGCTGCATGAGTTCTCTTCCAGGGTGCCCTGCTGCCACTGCAGGAAAGCATTCCTCCGTGGAGCCCTGCGCCTGGGGCGAGCCCGGCCTCTCCTTTCCAGCCCCTGTGGAGGGTGCCTACCAGCATCCTGCAAGCCCTGTGGGCAGGGAATGAGTGGTATCCTGTCCCCACGGAGGGATGAGGCCTTGCTCTGGTTGTCCCGAGGTGCTGCATCTTGCTGCCTGTGGCCCACCTGTGGGAAGGAAGAGAAGAAGGAGGCATGGGATGGAGGCAGCTGCCTTGGCACAGTGTCCTCCCAGTGCCAGCAAGCCCTGCCCTGGCCCCAAGGCAGCTCCATGTGGCCTCATCCCAAAGGCCTGTCCTTTCTGCCCCGTCCCACACCTCACACCTCTTCTCCAGGCTCAGCAGCCCCTTGCAGGTCTGGGACTTCATGTTCTTCAAAAGATTCTCCATGTCTGTCTGACATTCTGTGCCACAGAGCACCCAGAGGAGATGCTGCCTCGTGCGGGAGCTGCTCTCCTGGCACTGGGCAGCCCAGGGCTCCTGCAATCCCCCCATGGCCAGGGGGGCTCACCACCGTGTCACAGTGATCTCTGGGCACAAGGCAGCCCCGTGTCACAAAGCCCTGACAGCTCACGCCACACCCTGCTGCCAGTGCAGGTGTTCCACGGCAGAGACGAGAAACTTCAGAAAAACCTTCCAGACCTTCATTCCTCTAGCTTAACCAGATAGAAGAACTATAAGAAAGAGAGTTCTTCTACCTGCAGTAGCTTTGGCCTGCTCAGGGGAAATAAAAAACATCCTCTGAAATTTAAACAGGGACTATATCTCTCCTTTTTGTGTTTGAATCCCTTTTTTGAATGGGCACAACTGTCCTGGTGCCTGCCATGAAAGGCTTAGTTTTTTTCCATTAGCCAGGAAGTGGTCTAGTTGAGGAGACGTGGCCATAGCCTGATGTTATTTGGTACCCCCTGGCATCATTGCCAGTTCTGGTGGCGAGTGACTCGCTGACTTCCAAGAAGAAGGACATGGCTTCTGGTCAAAAAGGCAGGGGAAGACATCCAATATTGTTCAGTGAAACCCTGGGTCTGCAAATCTAAGAAACTACAGAAAACCATTCTATTTTATGATTCTTATATCTTAGACAGATATAAGTACAGTGGCTGTGTTGGAGGGGGGAACCTTCAGGCCTTGGAAGTCAGTCCATTACCTGGAAAGGTGCATGCTCTCCCACCCTGCCCCCTGCCACGTGGCATGTGACCCCGCAAGGAGCACACACACAAATCACCAGGGAGGGACGGACGAAAGAGGAAGTTTAATGTGGGGTAGGGGTTTATAAAGCTCTTGGGAGGGTCAAACGGGACCAATTACAGATGAAGGGTCTTACAGAAAAAACCAATCAGGTAGAGAGTTAACAGCCAATAGGAAAGGGTTAACAAAAGGCCAATGAGAACACCTTAGGACATCTTCCCAGGACACTCCTACCTGAGAGATAAGGGGTCTTTACAGAGAGTGTCGGGAAGAAGGAGCAGTGACTTTGCAGAGATGCAAAAAGCCGTCTTAATACATGTTTAAACAACATTAAAAACTCCTGTTTCTATAACATTTGACCTGTTTTCTTCTTTTTCTTCATCGGTCCATCTTTGGCAGGACTTTTTCCATAAATCCATTGCCACAATAAGGGCCAGAGGAAAGAGAGCTCTTCTACCTGCAATAGCTGTCACCTGCTTAGAGGTAATAAAAATGCCCTCTGGAATTTACAAATGGACTTCATCTCAGCATTTTGTATTTGAATCCATTTGTTCTTATGCACACAACTCAGGAATTTGGGTGATATTGAAGCTTTTATTGAAAAAAAAGTATAATCTATTAATGCCTATCTATCTATTGATCTATCTACTTATTATCTATCTGTCTATCTTATAATCTATATAACCTATCTATCTATCTTATAATCTATATAATCTATCTCTTTTATAATCTGTAGAATCTATTTATCTTATAATCTATCTAATCTATCTATCTATTGTGAAACTGTGATAAAACTGTGAACCAGCCTCAGTCCCAAGGTGTCTTTAGGGGAATCATAGGCTGGTCACAGGTATCACTGGGTAAGCCCAGTCTGGCAGGGCGCGCTTGGGGCAGCCAAATGCCTGAGGCACTGTCCCTGCAGCCATGGCTCGGGTACCTCCCTGTGCCGCGCTCTCAGCCCGGCGCTGCTGCTCCTGCTCTCGGGGCACACAGGTGCCAAGGAACAGCCTGCGCACAGCCCTGAGCACCCTCCCGAGCAGGGAGCGTGGCTGGCGTCGCGCCAGGCCGGGAGTAGCTGTGGGAGAAGGAGCTCCGTGGCCAAGGGGCTGTGCAGGCAACAGGTAAGCTCCTGCCTGCAGCACTGCCGCCAAGGGCTCTTCCCAGGGCAGAGCGGGCAGTGCGTAGCCAGTGATGGTGGTTGTGGCTGTGCCGGCCTGGCCTGGGTGCTGCTCGCTGGGACGGCTGGGCCAGGCCTGTCCCCACTGGGGCAGCGCTGGACTTTGGGACATGACTGGCTCGTCCTCGGTGTTGTTGGGACCAGGTGGAGCTGGAGACACTGGATGTTGCAGGTCCTCTTGCCGCAGCCCACGGGACAGCCCATTGTCAACTGTGTAGTCCCAGTCTTCCCCCTTCATGGTCAAGGCCCAGGTCTCAGTGGGGAAATGGGCTTCAAGCCATTCCAGCACCTTCTGATGGCCTAGGACGGCTTCCAGTCCCTCCAGGCCGGTCAGCACTGGCTTCCCAACGTCCAACTTTGGGTTTCCCTGGCAGATGAGAAAGAAGGGACATTTCTTGAGGAGATCTCCCTCAACGTGAGGAGGAAGAACTTCTTGACACTGAGGGTGGCAGAGAACTGGCACAGGCTGCCCAGGAAGGTGCTGGAATCTCTATCTCCAGAGGCATTCCAAAGCTCCCTGGACGCATTGCTGTGTCACATGCCTCAGGTGAGTCTGGCTTGGCAGGGAGGTTGGAGTGGATGATCTCCAGAGGGCCCCTGCAACTCTAACAACTCTGTGGTTCTGTGCTTTGACAAGGTCTCCTGGTTCCCCCCAGCAAATGCATGTGGGGCACCTGGCAGCAGGAGCTGCTGGGACAGGGCTGTGGGAGATGATGGGGCTGCAGCGGTGCAGTGCAGCAGCTGGCCCCAGGAGAGGGAAGCTCATGCCCCTGTCCCATCTGATGCCATTCCATCCCGTCTTTGGCATTTACCTGCCCAGCTCTGCCATCAGGCCATATCAGGGAGGCAAGATGGTCCTGGCCCTCCTGCTGTGGGAGCTCCTTCTCCTCCAGGCTGTGCAGCTGCCATGGCAGGGTGGCTTTGCCACATGAAGCCCTGAGCTTGGGGCACGCCTGGCCGCTCCTCTCCAGCCCCTGCGGAGGCTCCATCTTGGCTGGCGCAGGGGTCGGATGGCTGCCAGTGCCCTGCAAGTTCTGTTGGCCAGGGAGTGGTGGCAGCACATCCCCAGGGAGGGACAAGACCTGGCCCAGGCTCTCCTCAGGCGCTGCATGTTGCTGAGTGTTGCTGACCTGCGAGAAGGAAAGGGAGGAGGTGGTATGGCACAGAGGCAGCTGCCTTGGCACAGCATCCCCCAATGCCAGCAAGCCCTGTCCCAGCCCTTTCCCACCAGCAGCCTCTCCCTCCTGCCCCATCCCTCACTTGGCGCCTCGTCTCCAGGCTCTCCTCGCGCAGCTGGGAATTTGCAATCTCGCAAACCTTCTCCATGTTTGTCTTTGGAATCCTCTGGCACAGATATGCCAGAGCACCCAGGGAGATGCTGCCTCGTGCGGGAGCTGCTCTCCTGGCACTGGGCAGCCCAGGGTTCCTGCAATCCCCCCACGGCCAGGGGAGCCGGCCGCCGTGTCACAGTGGTCTCTGGGCACAAGGCAGCCCCGTGTCACAAAGCCCTGACAGCTCACGCCACACTCTGCTGCCAGTGCAGGTGTTCCATGGCAGAGATGAGAAACTTCAGAAAAACCTTCTAGGCCTTCATTCCTCTAGCTTAACCAGATAGAAGAACTACAATCTGCTGGGACAGGACTGTGGGAGATGATGGGGCTGCAGCGGTGCAATTCTGCAGGTGGCCCCAGGCAGAGGGTGGCTCATTCCCCTGTTTCATCTGATGCCATCCCATCCTGTCCATGTCTGTCATCACGTCATGTCAGGGAGGCAAGGTGGTTCTTGCCCTCCTGCTTTGGGACCTCCTTCCCTTCCAGGCTATCCTGCTGTCATGGCAGGGCATCTTTGCTCCATGAAGCCCTGAGCTTCAGGCGGGCCTGGCCACTCATCTCCAGTTCCTGCAGAGGCTCCATCTTGCTTCGCACAATGGGTGCCACCGGGTGGCTCCTGGTGCCCTGCAAGCTCTGTTGGCCGGGGAGTGGTGGCAGCATGTCCCCATGGACGGATGAGGTCTGGCCCAGGCTCTCCTCAGGCGCTGCATGTTGCTGGTAGCTCTTATACCTGCAGTAGCTGTCACCTACTTAGAGGTAATAAAAATATCCTCAGAAATTTAAAATTTTATCTTTTCAGAGACTTTTATTTTTGTATCCATTGCTGGTATACACAGAACTCAGTTAAATGGGCTAAACTGACAGTTTTATTGAAGAAAAATGAGAGAGGGGCATTTCTTGAGGAGTTTTTCCTCACTATGGGGGAGAACTTCTTTACACTGAGGGTGGTAGAGCCCTTTAAGAGGTTGCCCAGGGAGGTTGTTGATTCTCCCTCTCTGGAGACATTCCAAAACCACCTGGATGCATTCATATGCAACCTACTCCCAATGACTCTGCCTTGGCAGGATGATTGGACTAGATGATCTCCAGAGTTCCCTTCCAACCCTCATGATTCTGTGACTCTGTGAAATCTTATGCTTCCAGGAGGTCCTTTTGCAAGAAATCCTGGTTTTCTTTCAATTGGCTGATGCCTTGAGAGAGTTGCTGCCTGGCCACAGGGCATGGGCACCCTGGTTCACACCTGCTCAGTCCAGGCCATCCCCTCCCATGTTTCCTCTGCACTGCCCTAGTGCCTCCCTAAACAAACTCAGTTTTCAGGGTTTCACCCCTGTGCTGGCCAAGGACTTGCTCAGGAGCAGCACCCCACCTTCATTTTCTGCTTATGAGTCTCTTAGAGTTGGTCTCTTTCTGGCTGTGTTCAAGATAAACATGTTTTTCTCCTCCAGCACATAAAACCCAAGTTAATTTACCTGGTGTGTGCTACAAGCTCCCCATGTGCAACAGTTCCACTAGAAAAAGTTGTTTGTGCTCCTTGACTGAGGTCTGGCCAGGCTTAGAGCCTGGTCTCTTACTCAGGTGGGGTCTTAGAAAGACCTGTACCAAGGGAAAGCCCTGACTTCTCCAGCGACCCAGCGCAGGCAGCTGCTGACACACAGACTCACAAAAGGCTTCAGCAAGACAGGCAGTGAGAGGAATCAGGCCTTCCCTACCAGGAGGGTACTCCCGTTGGCTGAGGTACTCCAGGGTTACAGCCTTCCCGACACGCCTACAATGTGTCCCCCATTCATGGTCATTCAGGGAAGGGTCCCCAGCATTTTCAAAATGGAGGTTACTGATCCTTTGCTGCTGATAGATCCCCTTGTTTCTGGGCAAACTGCACCTCTCTGTAACTGACACCTGAACCACCAGTAACTTGTCACTTCCCACCACCAAAGGCAACCACACTGCAAACTTTGCAAGAACATCTTTTTATTTATTTCTAATACTTGTTTTGGTGCAGCTGGACATGGCACAGCAGGGAGTCCGGCAGAGCTTGCTTCTGACTGTTCTGGGATAGGCTATGTTTGTATCATATTTTGTCAGACCAGAAACAAGGTCAAAGTTTGCAGAGCTTAACACACCCTTCAAGTACATACAACCCCCAATGATAAGCCACAGTTCGGTAGGTAATATAAACCACAATTGGGCAATTAGGGCTCTTGGTATGTTTTCATTAGAGGTGTGCACGATTTCTGCCAGATAGCACAAGTATTTAATTTCCTGCAATCAAAGAGGAGGGTCCTAACAGTAGAAGTGAAACGCAGCCTCTTGCTGTGAAAGCTGTGTGTGGGATTAGCGCAAAACTCGAGTCCCTGCTGAGCCAGGGGCAGCTGGCCCAGTCACTTCACACGGGAGCAGCAACCACTCGAGGAAGCAAACTGCTGCCATTGCATGTCCACACAGGCAAGTGCAAGTCAATTGGTGGCAATTAAACAGAGCTGAAGCTTTACACCTTGGCTGTCCTATGAAAATATGTTGCCTTTTCACAGTCGCTTGCAAACAATATGTTCATGCTAACGACATCCTAGTAATACCAGTCTTTCTCACCTCTTCTTTTAGAGAGCTAAACATGTCCCTGTAATTCACAGAACAAGCATCAGTGTTGGGAAGTCGGGGTGCAATATGTATGCCACGAACAAATCACAGTGCCTTTAGTATTCAGCAGTACATTAATGGAGGACTTGGAGTGCTGGGGTTATGGCTCGACTCTATGATCTCAAAGGTGTTTTCAACCTAAATGATACTTTATGGGTGATCCAGATTCCTGTCAGACACAGGACTTATGCCTCAGTTCATGGAACTTGAAATTGCTAAACAAGGAACTGAATATCCATGTTATAATTGAGAAACTACTTGCAAGAGAAAGAGTAATTGTAACTTAGCTATGTACAAGTACTAGTACAATCTGGACAAAGGGACTCTGTGCAAGTAGTAGTCCAAATGTGATCTGTCTGGCAGAAGAAAACTCACTTCTAACTTTCCCCTTCTTTTCCTCAGAAGACAATTAAGAAGTGGAGGCAGACCACAGGAAAGCTCTGTGCTTCTCCACAAGTTTTCTAAAATCTGAGAAGGTGTGTAGCGCACAAAAGATTTCGTGATAGTGAGTGTTTAACAGATGTTAGCCTTCTTCGTAATTTAGAAATGAAATGCATTTCTTACCTGGCTTGTTTGAGGCTGCAGGAGATGAAGGGCCTCAGATCCAAGACTTAAAAGGAAGGAACAGGAAAGCAGGGGAGAGGTAGCTGCCAGCTGCCGCCCCATCATCACCACACATGGTCAATACTGACAGGCCTGTGTCAGTATTGTTGAAATGAGCACCTTTTGGAAAAGATGGAAAAGCTTGCATATCTTTGGACATGAGACACATTGTGTAAGTTGAGCAACAAACAAGGATGGCCTGAAGCCTTGAGGGGCAAAAGGTAGGAAATGAATAGCAGGCTTTTCTATGAGGAACACAAATTTAAAGAATAACATAAAGAAATATAAATTCTTGTTAAGAAATCTCCACCCACTGTGCATGCTATAGGAAATACAAGATTGGAGGATTTCTGTCCCAATTTTATTTATTTATTATTTTTTTTACAATGCCTGCTTCAATGAAAGATTGAAACAGTCAAACTAAAACAGACATTATATGCTCATACCATTTACAATATTTACATAATATACAGTTTTCTTTTTTGCTCAGTGGGTAATTATAACAACTTGGGACAAAAGTGTAAGTGAAAAGAAGCACTGGTGTAAAAAGTTAAACTTTCCTGTTTCTGATGTTGCAATGCTTGAACTAACAGAAGCAGCAAGTGGGGTAAATGCTCTGTGTAGTAACCAAGTGTAGTTGTCACTTCATAGTGACAGGTCCTGCTCAGCTTTATTTACACCACGCCTAAGCCAGCAGGAAGCTGTTACTCTATCTAGAAAATTGATGAGTGACTTCACAATTAACCCCTTCTTCATTTTAACATTGAAAAGCAGAACTGCAGTGTTGAATTTTCTATTGTGCACATAGATAGCAATTAATTTCAAATGCTCTGTTGTATTAAATACTAAAATATATTTTAACTTTCTTATTATACATGCTATAAAATTACACTAAAAATTTCAAGTTTCTGAAGTAACAATTACCCTTCTATATATATATATATATTCTCTATATAATTTTTAAATATTTAGATTTTTTTTAATACCCAGGATAAAGATATGCTAGCTCCAGTATGGCTGCGTTTTATCATAATGTCTACCAAAGTCCCATACATAACCAAAGCCTCATCTAAAAGCTAGTTTGGCAGGTATTCTACTTTGGTCACCACCTCATTTTCCCTTCCCTTCTTTTTAAAGCACATTTCCAAAGGTAGCTGTGCTACCTTTTAACTTCAGGTTATGCCCTATCCTGAGTAAGAGCTGAATTTCAGTTCCCTCCAATTAAAAAGCCAAGTCACACAGTCACTGATGGAGAAGCAGCAGGTGGCATTTTTCACCTCTTGGAGTGTTCTTTCAATACAGTACTGCAATCTCCAGGTCAGACATAATTTAATTCTGTCAAATACCTGACATCAACAGGAATTGCTTTAGGCCTGGATTTTGTTCAATGTACATGGGTGCTTTTCCATACACAAGCTGTACACACGGTACCATGGCCCAAGTGCAAAACAGAGTGCACGGTGGTCTCAGCTACATGGTGTTCAACAAAAAGCAGTTTGAATTTTATAGATATGGCTTATGACCCACCCAAGTGATTTTTTCCATGGTTGCATCCTCAAGTAGCACCAACCTTTTAAAATTTTAATCTTTAATATATATACATACATCTTTTAATAATTTACATATACACACACACACACATAGATGTGGCCTCGGTACGTTCACCGCAGGAGAAACTTATTTACAGTGAGTTGGAAAAATGAAATCGTATCAAGTTACAGTATATGAAAACAAAATTGGCATTTGTGCTTTTTCTTTGTACAGGAGTAATTT